ATGGCAGTTCTATTTCCAGTTTTTTAAGAAATCTCCACACTGTTTTCCATAGTGGCTGTACTAGTTTGCATTCCCACCAACATTGTAAATGACTTTTTAAAAGCATTTGAAATTCAATCCTGTTTCAAAGAAAATGTAAAGTATTATCACTGTAATATTAAGAGCTAGCAGAAGTTGATACAGGACCACATTTTTCTATATTTGGAAGGCTGAAGTATTCCTGTGATAACTGCAAAAAGCTAAATGAATTGAAATGATTCAGTTGAATGGCTGATGTTATTTTAGTTCTGAAAATTAAGCATTTATAGATTTTTGCCTAAAGCTCTTATAACATAATAAATGCAAATGTTTGGACATCTTAGACTGCATCCTAATTTGTCCACTCCCTCTCCCCCCAGAGAAAAAGGAAATTATTAGCCAGAGCTTATTATTGGGTATGAAATATGTTTCTTTTACTGGTTTTCTTATTTGTGATTCTTAAATGGTGATGAAAAGTATTGCCCTTTCACCCAATGGACCTTAAAATTTGACTAGATCCCAACAAGTGAGTAGGCTTCCCTGGTGGCCCAGTGGTAAAGAATCCATTGGGTTTGATCCCTGGGTCAAGAAGATCCCCTGGAAAAGGAAATGGCGACCCTCTCCAGGCAACAGCCTGGGAAATCCCATGGACAGAGGAGCCTGACAGGCTAGTCCATGGGGTCGCAAAAGAGTCAGACACGACTTAGTAACTAAACCACCAACAACAAAAATAGCAAGTTAGTGAAATGGTTCCCTTCATCTCCTTCAAACCAATATTCATCCAAGACTTTAGCCTTCATTGAGAAGGAAACATTTTCTATACCTTGGTTTCCTTTAAGATCTCACAAATTACAGTGCTCCCAAAGAACATTTTAGTACAAATTCTCAGCTATAATAATGAAGATTTCTGAAAAAATCATGGTGACTCATCATGATCCTCTTCCTACATGTAAGGAACTGCACTGGCAGGTCCCCATTCATTAATACATGGATAGCAACATCTCCATGTAAAAATGAGAGGATTTCATCAGAGTTCAGCACAAAGCTTATTTGTGGCCAAGCTGAGTTTAAGAAATAAATATTTTAATAAAACTATAAACTGACTTTTTTTTAGCCATTAAATACCAGACTCTCCTTTTATCTGGACCTCCTCCATCTGTAACTGACATATTTAGACTATTGGCCTTACTTTATGGGCTTCCCAGTGGTGGTGCTAGTGGTAAAGAACTCTCTTGCCAATGCAGGAGAGGCAAGAGACATTTGATCCCTGGGTTGGGAAGATCCCCTGAAGGAGGGCATGGCAACTTACTCCAGTATTCTTGCATAGAAAATTCAATGGACAGAGAAGCCTAGCAGGCTACAGTCCATGGAGCTGCAAAGAGTTGGACATGGCTGAGCACATACATACACCCTACCATCCTTACTTTATAGATGGGTGAAAGTTCAGATGTCTCCTTGAATTCCTGGGAAATCACTGATTGCTAAATACTATGAGGTTATTTTTTAGAAGTATATTTTTAAAAGAGTCCTGTGTGGACAGACACAGTTTTTTTCTGCTCACTAGTATGTCTTTGGTGCCCAGCATAGGCACTCAGTGTTGTTAAATGAATAGATGAACCAGGATGTTGACATGACACTTTATGGACAGTCTGCTACAAGAAAGACTAAGTTATTCGAGGTCACTGATGCAATAAAATTGGACTTGGGTAGGAAGGGAGAGGACCTAAGTTCAAATACAAATGAGACCACTGACTGATTAACTCATGATATCAACTAAAGCAAATTTTCAAGGCATAGCTTTCCCCATTAGAAGCTGAAAGAGTTGTGCTAAATGTACTGAGTGATCTCTGGTTTCCTGGGCTGACATGTTCCTTATCTGGGGCAAGCTCTTCTATTTCCAGTTGAGCAAGGTTCTATGTGGTCTGATACTCTGCGGCTTCCCCCACAGCCAGTCTTGGGAAACCTTCTCTCCTTGTCTCCTCTCTCAGCAAAATACACTACAAATGCTATTACCTCTAGGACTGTGAAAGGAAATTTACCAGAAAATAACCTGGGGTTTGTCATATTTATGGAATTAATTACAAACACCAAAGAAATTTGCACACTTCGGAATTTTCTGGCTTAAGATCCAGTTTGTATTTAAAATATTTTTATTTCTGGATGCCTCTGTACAGTCATTTAAGTCTGACCTCATCTTAGGCTGGTTTTCCTTCCCCACCTTCCTCCCCATTCCCCTCCTCTTCTTCCTTCCCCTGTCTTTCCATTCCCTTTCGCTTCCTTCATTGTCTTTGTCTCTTTCCCTCTATCTGTACAATTTGTATTAGTTGTCTATTCCTACTTAATTCCCAAAATCCAACTCCCCTAAATCTCTAATGATATTAAGGGGCCCAGCAGTTCCTCCTGGAGAAGCTGCATGTCTGTTGTGGTACTTTGGGCACATCCTTGGGTGTATCTACCTCCTGAGTTCCCAGCTCTTGTAGGGTTGTCTCACTTATCTGCTAACCATGTTTTTTTTTCCACATTCTCTCCCTTCCTACCCACCCCTTCCTGTCTTGTGCCCCTTCCACTCCGGGATTGTTCAGGTGAACCTGATCCCACATCTTCACACCCACGTCTAGTTCAAACCTTTCTAAATAGTCATTTCAACACAAAGGCTGTACACAGAAGCTTAAGTCCTCATCATTTGGAAAGTTAAAGTGACAGATGATTTAATAAATTGAGACAAAGAGAGAAAAACAGATTGGGGATGAAGGTGAAAAGAACTTAGAGGGACTCTTCCTTCATCCTTATAGAGTAACCTTCTTTATATCATTCAGACACTCAGCTTCCTTGTAAAGTATCTTCTTTTTATCATTCAGACTTAACTTCCTTCTTTTTATATTTTCCAAAGTTTTGAGAGTTTATCCCTTTTCTTTTATGTTCTTAAAGAGTAAAGGGTGATGCAGTTTTCTTGAGTCACCAGAGGGTCTTTTATCCCCACTTGCCTACTCAAATATTTGGCTTGTTTACTTTCACAAGCACCAGTACTTGTATTAAAGAACCATTTGGCATCAAGACCCAAGTGCAGATGTCCTATCAGATAAGATGGTGCCTCATTCAGAAAATTCAAGATAGAGTAAAATAAATTAACAACATCTTGACTGCATGCTCCATTCACAACTGTTAATTTAACAGGGTTATGCTTCCATCTCTGAGCAGAGGGCTCCTGGCAGGGACAGCTGCTCCCGTGCCCCAGATTGTGCTGTGTGTTCCCCAGTAGGAGTCCTCAAGAGCAGCAGGAGAGCGGAAAGGTGGTAGTGCATCCGAGCACCGAGCAATGTGGCAGCATGGCACTGGGAGGAGGAAGCAGAGGAGGCCCCTATAAAGAGCTGTCGTGCACGCCTTCATTCTCTGTGTGAATACATGTGCAGTTAATTGAAGAAAAAGAAAAACTTGCCTTGAGTTTTACTGGAAATATATCCATCCTGCTTTTACTCTCAGAGGCAGTTTATTTTCAAAACTACCTTTGTATACCCATGAGCATGTTGATGGACCTAAGCAATACAGGCAGGCCCATATGCTTGTCTGAAGAATGTCAGGTCTACATCATGATGAACAGGATCTGGGTCACTGGGACAGAACTGGTATGACAGGTGGAAAACATGCCTCATGTTGTCCTGCTGTGATTTGCATCCTAAACTGGAGCAAAGGCCAAGGTCAGGCCAAGGTTGAGATTGGGGCCAAGCAGAGGACTTGGTACATTATAAGCATTCTCGAATTAATGGTCTTTTGCTGCATTGTTCACTGCTGTATTTCCCCATTGCCTAAGAGAGTATTCACAAAAGTTAACTTATTGTGGTGATTATTTTGCAATATATACAAATACTGAATCACTATGTTGTACACCTGAAACTAATAGAATGGTTATATGGGAACTAAAAGTAACCACACTGGGACAGCATGGTGGGCAATGACACTATAGAGAATTCTGAGTACTCACTTGATAGGCGTTTCTTTTCATGACTGTACCTTTTATTCCTCTCCTCTGATTCAATTTCCATGTGGAAAAAAGTTATTTGCAGCCTATGTTATGCTTTAACCTGATCAAGTGGTAAAAAGTTCACTTTCTAGTCTCTTGCCTTCAGTACTAAGATTGCTCTATTGATGATAATATAAAACTAATTTTAAGTTTAAATTGCTTTGAGAATAAGAAACTGTGATTTAGTGAATATATGCCACGGTTTCAAAAGTGGAAGCTGTGTTTTCTACTCTTTCTTTTTAAAAAGAACTCAAGATTAATGACCATTTTCTGAATTCAAACCTTGAAGGCCTGGTATGTTCATTACTGATGCTGGACCACACACAGAAGGAAGTGGATGTTATTTTGTGACTAGCATTTTGAATTCTCAAATCCTGAACAAACCTCACAAAGCCCTGGAACTCATCTGCATTTTGCATAAGACCCTCATGGAATTTCCTGTTTAAACCTTTAACATACTCTTTGCCCCAAATCTACTTGTTTCCTGACCAAGCTTGAAATATTGAGGAAACAATAGACTCCCACAATACTTTTTTAAATCATAAAGTTTTTCACAGAGTCTCTCACAAAAACCTGAAAAATCAACATCTTTCAGAGCTCTTTGATGAAAACCTAGGGTGGGTGTGACTTGAATTTCCAAAGTATATCTACAAAAGGCTGATTTAAGTTTGGCCAAGGAGAGACACTGAGTTGGGAAAAGAACGACAGATAAAATAATACCAATGATTCTGGAAGGCCAAAAGGACACTAATTTTTCTGTAAAATAATGTGTTCTCTCCTAAGTTCTTTACCAGGGAAAGAAAGGAGGCATGGTTTGAATTTCCAGAGTACTGCTGATTTCTTAACTCCAAGTATGGTGCCTAGCACAAAATAAGTCATTCAATAAATATGTGTTGAATGCTGTGATTTGAAGGAAAAGAACATTGTTCCATCTCTCCTTTTTTCCCCCCTTTTCTCTGTAAAGGTTGAAAAAAATGATGAGGACCAAAAGATTGAACAAGATGGCATCAAACCAGAAGATAAAGCTCATAAGGCCGCGACCAAAATTCAGGCTAGCTTCCGTGGACACATAACGAGGAAAAAGCTCAAAGGAGAGAAGAAGGGTGATGCCCCAGCCGCCGAGGCGGAGGCAAATGAGAAGGATGAAGCCGGCGTCACCGAAGGCACGGAGAAGAAGGAAGGAGAAGGCTCCACTCCCGCGGAAGCGGCCCCAGGCGCCAGCCCCAAGCCCGAGGAGAAGACCGGCAAAGCCGGCGAAACTCCTTCCGAGGAGAAGAAGGGGGAGGGCGCCCCCGCTGCTTCCACAGGGCAGGCAGACCCCCAGGCTCCTGCCCCCTCGGAGGAGAAGGCCGGCTCTGCTGAGACAGAAAGTGCCACTAAAGCTTCCACTGACAACTCGCAGTCCTCTAAGGCCGAAGATGCGCCAGCCAAGGAGGAGCCTAAACAAGCCGACGTGCCTGCTGCTGTCACTGCTGCTGCCGCCACCACCCCTGCTGCAGAGGATGCTGCTGCCATGGCAACAGCCCAGCCTCCAACGGAGACTTCGGAGAGCAGCCAAGCCGAGGAGAAGATAGGTGAGCGACCTCCAGGGTCAGACGCCAAGGTGGGCGGGGATGGCAGGACACGGGCAGGCGGCCGATCCTGAAAGCCAGGCCACCTGTGCCATCAAGGGAGGGGGGAAGATTCTAGAAGGTTTTTTCAGGAAATCAAAGGAAGCTGCGCTGAATTCCCCAAAGTGACAGGACTGAGAGCTAACTCTGGCCGCTTACATTCCCAAGTATCTCCAAGCCTGAGTGAGAACTCAGGCAGGTCTGTGTAGCAGCCGGTACTAGACAGTCTGGCAGTTGCCTTGTTAATTGAATTGGCATAAAGAGTAAAGCTAGGTAATCCTGGTTGGGGGAAAAAAAAAAACAACACAACAACATTCTGTGTATAGGGTAGACTTCGTTTAATAAGTTATTACTGAGACTACACATATTTTATGGATGGGAATTAGCTAATGTGATTATCTGGCTCTAGGAAGTGCCTGGTATAAATGCAGCCAACTCCCTATTGATTCAGATGATGTAGTTTGTGAATTGCCGGCAGCAAAAACATAATCTCAGACCACCTTTCCCTGTCCCACAATATGTTTCTGGGCATTCTCCCCACCATCAATTGGTGAATAGTGTGCATATGTGTATGCATGCTCAGAGAATGTTAATCGTAACATTAATCGGGGTCAAACTAATTAGGAAAATAAGTCTGTTGATCTTGCCAAAAACAAAAGAAAACTCCCAAATATAGAACATGTTGTGAAGTAAAACATAAATTATCATTTTATTATTGAAGATACTACTTTCTACCATACGCATACATGATTGAGGGTTGACTCTGCTTATAAAAAGGTACTAGATTCTCTTTGGTTTGGAGCTCTAACTTGGAGTTTTTTCACCTTTACTACCCAAAGAGCCTGTGAAGTATTGGAATAGGGCTTTCCCAGTGCAAGATAAATTTAAGGGAACTTCACCCCTCAACATGACCTGCCCCTCACCCCAGCACATCCACAGTGGTGAAGGAGGTCAGCAGTTTCCAAAGTCTTTCTCTGGCCTGGTATGACACATAAATATCTTTCAGCCCCAAATCTTAAAGATAAACTTACTTCTGTGCCTGTTGAAAAAGTTGGGTTTACTCTTTTAAGATTTAGTGATTTAATGCATGTTGTGTCTAAGAACCCAGATTTGGACTGGACCACAGTGTATCTTTGGGAAAGGACCTAGTCCACGAGGATGCTGTCAGAAATGTCTTGCCATCTGACCATTAGATTGAGAAAGTAATTATTGGACATTTGCCATGATATCCACTTCTCCACATTAGATACTGCAGGATGGCACAAGATTATTCTAGATATTTTCAGTTCTATGTCTTTTATCTTACTCCCTAAATTCTGAGTAAGAACCCAGAGTGTATTAACCATTATTGTTATTAGCATCCTCTAACTTCAGATAAAATGCACATCTCTTTCTACCAGTGACTCATTTTAAATCTTTATTCTAACTACATATCTGCCCCAGGGGCCACACCTTGAGGTTAAGAAGATGGGAATATTTCCCTGGAAAAGGTAAGGCATGTGATAATGATTGTTTTGGTTTTAATTTACTCAGCAAGACAAACCTTGTTAGCTTCTTCTTGAGATGTAAGTTCCAGCCTTAGACATGATGGCTGGAAGTCACGTTGCATATGATAGACTATCTGTTAGGTAATTTTCATACATCTTAGAAATTGATTATGATTTAAATATAGAAAATATTTGACACTGCTCAGATCATATTTTTAAACTGGGTTTTCTGAAGTTGTAAGTAAAGACAGAAGCATATAATGTGATTAGGTAAATGCTCATGATTTGGATTAATAGAAAGGAGAATTGCTTGAATCAATGAAAAGTCTAAAAATAGTATATTTTATGGGAAGTTCAGTTTTATTATTTTTCAAGTTAGAATAATTCCAATGAATTAATAAAATATTTTAAATAGTTACATGGTCAATACATGTCAAATAAATGAAAACTGGACAGCATCAGTTCATAACTGGACAATTCAATTCATAATTGTTTACGCATTCATATAGTCTTCCTACAACCTTTCTTATGCCATTCATTTATTTTATTAAAAGTGTATCTGGTCAGTGAAAGCAAGTAGAGATCATGCACTGTCCTAAATTTTACAATTTCTGACTGAAATATGTCTCAGTTAGTCTGAGTTTCATATGTACACTGAAAGTTAATTGATAAGTATAGATGAAGTTCAATTTGAAGCGAGTCACAAATGGCAATTTATTTTACATTGTCTCTGAGCTTAGGTAGGTATTTTCCCCTTGGTTAGATCTTCAAATGCTGCCTGTAATTTCTTCTTGGACTGATGTATCTATTAGCCTTGCCTGCTATAGATGACAAGCACAGATTACCCTTATACAGCAAGTCTCATAGAGTTGTAGAAACTAGAGGTGACAAAGAGATCCATCACAGCACATCCAGCCCAGATTCCCATGGGCCCTGCACCACATTCTCCTCTATATCTTATTGGATTTCATTCTAATCCAGGATAAAAGAACAATATTCCTAATTGATCTCTACTGTCTAGGAATGGATGGCTACCCTGGGTTGCTTTAGGATTCTGTGACTGCCTGAAGGGGTGGAGAGAGCAATCTGAGAAGGTTGAGTGGGGTTGGGAGCAGAACAAGCCACAAAAGAGAGTCAAGATAAAAACTGCTGTCAGTGAAAGGGTCAAAATTTTAGATCAGTTTGATCACTACTTTAATACAAATGGAAATTCTTTCTAAATTATAAATGTTTGGTTTATTTTACTACCTTTATATTAGTGAGTTTATAACAGATGGATCTCATTTGCGGTAGGACTTTCAGAATTTTTTTGATCCTCCAGTCATATCTTCTTGTCTCTGCTTTGCCACTCTGCCTGCACATCCTCTGTATACCTAAGGACAAAAATTTTCTGTGCATTTCTGATAATGATTCTTTTATAGGAGGAGTGTTTATGTTATCTTTACGGCACTGTCCCCCTTCAGCCATGAGGAGAGAACCTTCAATCCTCTTTTAATGACAATGTCTCTGGTGTCTTTTTGCTCGATAGAATCACTGTGCTCAGTGATTCTCAGGAAAAGAATTGTCTGCTGTGTCTCTTCTTCTCCCTGATAACTTGCTGACTTTCCCTGACAGAAGACACCAACATTTCTTCTCTGACTATTCTAAGTGATGTCATACTACTAACAGAACACATCCAGGAAGCTAGAAATTGAGATCTTGACTGAGTAACCACCACAGGGTACTTGACTGTGGGAAGTAGGATGTATTACTCTAGGTTATGCGGATGACACCACCCTTATGGCAGACAGTGAGGAGGAACTAAAAAGCCTCTTGAAAGTGAAAGAGGAGAGTGCAAAAGTTGGCTTAAAGCTCAACATTCAGAAAACTAAGATCATGGCATCTGGTCCCATCACTTCATGGCAAATAGATGTGGAAACAGTGGAAACAGTATCAGACTTTATTTTGGGGGGCTCCAAAATCACTGCAGATGGTGACTGCAGCCATGAAATTTAAAGACACTTACTCCTTGGGAGGAAAGTTATGACCAACATAGATAACATATTAAAAAGCAGAGACATTACTTAGCCAACAAAGGTCCATCTAGTCAAGGCTATGGTTTTTCCCGTGGTCATGTATGGATGTGAGAGTTGGACTGTGAAGAAAGCTGAGCGCCGAAGAATTGATGCTTTTGAACTGTGGTGTTGGAGAAGACTCTTGAGAGTCCCTTGGACTGCAAGGAGATCCAACCAGTCCATTCTGACGGAGATAAGTCGTGGGTGTTCATTGGAAGGACTGATGCTGAAGCTGAATCTCCAGTACTTTGGCCACCTCATGTGAAGAGTTGACTCATTGGAAAAGACCCTGAGGCTGGGAGGGATTGGGGGCAGGAGGAGAAGGGGATGACAGAGGATGAGATGGCTGGATGGCATCACTGACTTAATGGACATGAGTTTGAGTAACTCCAGGAGTTGGTAATAGACAGGGAGGCCTGGCATGCTGCGATTCATGGGGTCACAAAGAGTCGGACATGACTGAGTGACTGAACTCAACTGAACTGATGCTACATTTTCTGTATGTTGAATTTGGCTGCATTTTGTTGTCATGGTCTCTTTACCTTTCTAATTGGGGTCATCAGTAATGATCTAGGAGAGAGAGGAGTTCTATTTATCATCCCTCTGAATAGAAATTCAATGTCTTCCTACCTTTCATCTTCCTTTTTCTGCCTCCTTCTTCCTTCCTTCCCTCCCTCTTTTCCTCTCTCTTTTTGTTCTTTCCTTTTTGCCTTTCATTTATATGAACTTTCTACCATGCCAAGCATTAGGGTCACAAAGATGAATTAGCTATGGTTGCTGATCTTAAGGAGTTCTCATTCAGTAATGGAATGGGATGAAATTCAATCAGGAATGTTGAAAACAATCACAGTTATAATCTCAACTCAATTGAACTCTACAAAAATATGTGGAATACCTTTATATGCCAGTGCACTGTGGGACAAAATATGGATGAGACAGCACTTCATACAGTTGGGCTACATACTAAAAAGATTTTTAGTAATATGTGTCTCTATAACCAAATTATTAGAAAAAGAATAGCTACAAATGTTAGTTTCTGAAATGATAATTATGTGTTAAAAAAATGAAATACCCAACCCATTTATAGAATTGGAGAAATTTTTTACATTCCCTAGAACAAAATGTTCTAAGGCCCAGGGTATCCATCCATAATAGTCTTAGCTCCCCAAAGGATAGACAGCACTGTGGGTTACATGTGAGATTTCCCAAGGATATTTACACTTACTTGGCAGGGTGCCTCAGAAGCAGTTTTGATTTGATACGTTGTTTCAACCACCTCCTAAATTTATACACAACTCATAAAGAGTCAAAATTTGGGTTGTGAAAGTCCATGAATGCTGTCTATAAAACATGGGCACCCTGTCAGCTACTCAGTGACACGCTGCTTAAATACTGTTGATTATTAAGCTTTCATGGCACACTT